TATCTATTCAACATTCTCCTCCCCTGCTTGTTGTCAGATTAACATCATGCCAGATAGTTATGAGATTTACATATAGTACAATACTAGCAAAATGGAAAGTTAAGATTTCAGTTATGTCACTAATTTTCAATTTGGGAAGCATTGCAAGTAAAAACATAACCTTGTTGCCATCACTTTTTATTAAAAATGTAAAATATCACTGCAGACCCATTTCTGTGTCACATTCTTCCATTTCGTGATCATGTTTAGAACTACCATTTAGGAAGCCATTGGATGAAGTCTCTGCAACTCCATTGGAGTAGTGATCTGTTTCCATGTCTACATCACTGCTGAGAAAGGGGGGGAAAAACATATTACTAACTTCAAAAATACTTTGGTTTGCTTCTCCACTTTACAATTTCACCTTAACAATTCCCCGTCTCCCCTAGTCAAAATATCACCTTTTTAATAATATCACATTGGATCAGTAATAATAAACCATAGATTTATTCACAGAAAATCACTACACAGGCATCAGGGATTTTGGATTGCCCCAGCCCAACAGCCAATGTGAAATACATTAACACTCAGCATGAGGTAGTACAGATCTCTGGAGCTAAGAGATGTGAAAAGTTAATTTTACTATTTTGTTGAAATATGTTAAAATACATGTTAATACATATAGCTAATTTAGATATAATTATCAGAGATCCTAGTTTTTCTTGATAAAAGAGATCTGAAAAAAATTCACATTTTTTCGTGATTAAGATTAAAGGCTGAATTTTAGTTTCTCTAGCCATAATATTATACAAATTCAATATGTTTTACTGATACAGAGGAACCCTATTTATCCAATCTAATTGGGATCGGGGTCCGATCAGAATAAAAAAAATTGGATAATCCAGAGAGCTTCAGCTCTGGGTGGCAGGTCTCTGGTGAAACCAGCGCACTTCAGCCCCAGTTTGGTTAATACGGAGAGCTGGATAATAAAGGCTTGGGTAAACGGGATTCTACTGTACGGTTTATAGTTTTCACAAAAATGTAAAAACGAAAGATTCTCTGTAAAAACGCAAATTCATCATTTTTCCGTGGCAAACTGATTTCTAGGATCCCTGACAATTATACACAGAAATTCCAATGTGGGTTTTGAGCTTGGTCACAAGCAGTAGGAAGTATACTTCAACTGCTGAGAAAATCTGCTATTCCAGTTCTCTTATTTTTTTACACGAAAGGGCAAGCAAGCATGAAGCTATTTTGAGAACACTAGCTTTAGGCAAAACAATGCAGTTCTTTCAGCAAGTTTCAGTCCATAGATTATTCACTCAGACTGGAAAGCAACATCAGGAACAAGATGGAGGGCAGAGGAACAGGATTGGGGAAAGAACCAAAACCCAGTCAGCCAAAGCATGCACAAGAAACAAAAGAATTGTGTTCAGAAAACACACATGGAGCACAAGACTGCATGACAGATCTCTGTTCATGGCACTGGGCAAAAGAACTCTTTGGAAGCTGCATGTGCTCTCGTTGAAGAGAGTGCCTTCAAGGGCTGGAGCCTCAGACAGACCCATGTTTTTAAATGTATTTAGGTGTTGCAACATTTAAATGACATAGGAGCCTAAATCTCATTTTCAAAAGGAATTTAGGCACTTAGACACTGACAATTAATACCTAAATACCTTTAAAAATTATGGGCCATAGTAATCGTATACTCCAGCTCATTCTATTATCAGTTATGAAAAGCACTGGTTAAAGATGCACTTCCTCGCCGACATTGCTTTTAAGGCTAAAAGAAATCCAGTTTACAACTAATTTCACTACTAAGGAATATTCAGCTCCTTTTTAACATCAGGAGAAAAAGTCCCCTTGTAAATGCTGGGCTGTAGTGCATCTTACGAAAAGCTTCAAAAAGGTGGGTTGAAGTTCATGAAGACCTTTGGCAGAGACAACTGCTACGACAAAACACTTCCTTGAAACAAAGAAGTGTTTTTGGAACCTCATCTGTTTACGCTAATTTTCTGATTTCTTGAGAAGGGACTAGAAACCACAATTGCATTAAAAGGGCAGTCTGCAAAGTATCTCCAATGACTGTACAAAATGCAAGGAGCATGCGGCACAACAGGATGAAGTGGAAGTCATGGTATATGAAGAAAATTATGACTTAATTGGCATTAGAGAGACTTGGTGGGACAACTTCCAGGATTGGAATACCAGCATTGAGAGATATAGCTTGTTACAGAAAGGTTAGTAACTGTTTTTTCTGGAACATTTGTTCTTTGAGATGTGCTGCACATGTCCATTCCACATTAGGTGTATGCACGCCCCATGCACAGTCGCCAGAAATGTTTTCCTTCAGTGGTACCCGTCTGGTCAGCTCTTGTGCCCTCTGGTGCTGCGGGCTTATGGTGCAGTATAAGGGGTCCGGCCAACCCCGCATCCTCTCAGTTCCTTCTTGCTGGCCAACTCTGACAGAGGAGTAGGAGGGTGGGTCGTGGAACAGACACGTGCAACACATCTTGAACAACAACTGTTACAGAAAGATTAGTAACTGTTTTTTCTTTGCGCGCTTGCACGTGTCCATTCCACATTAGGTGACTCCCAAGTAGTACCATAGGAGGTGGGCTCAGAGTTCATGGACGTGCAAATCGCAATGCAGCTCGACCAAAACCAGCGTCATCCCTAGCTTGCTGGTTGATGGTGTAGTGGGAAGAAAAGGTATGCACCAACAACCAGGTTGTTGCTCTGTAAATGTCCTGGACTGGCACCTTGGCCAGGAATGCCGCTGAGGAATATTGTGCCCTCGTGGAATGGGCAGTCAGAATGTTTGGTGGAGGGACACCCACTTGCTCATAGCACAAGCGAATGCACGAGATCGAGTATGAAATTCCATGAGCCAAAATGGGAAGGCCTTCCATTCTACCTGCTCTTGCCACAAAGAGCTGCGTAGATCTACAGAATGGTATTGTCCTTTCTATACAGAATGCTAGGGCACACCTAACATCGTATGTGTGGAGGCGCTGCTCCTCCTTATTGGCATGTGGTTTCGGGAAAAAAACAGTCAGGAAAATAGCCTGATTACTGTGAAACTGCAAAACTACCTTCATAAAAAACCCAGGGTGAGGACAGAACTATACCTTGTCCTTAAAGACGACCTTGTACAGGGGTTCTGATGAAAGGGCTCTGATCTCTCAGACCCTCATGGCCAAGATAATTGCTACCAGAAAAGTCACCTTCCAGGTGGGGAGCATGACGCCAGGGGCTTGAAGGGAGGGCCCGTGAACTTCGACAAGACCAAGTTTAAGTCCCAAAGGGGAATGGGCTCCCGAATCTGCATCCATAGCCTTTCTAAGCCCTTGAAGAAACGAATGGCCATTGTTTGAGAAAACCAATTGCACATGCACCAGAGGGTGGAATGCAGAAATCGCTGAGAGATAATTTAATCGATGAAATTGCTTATCTGAAACACCAAGGTCTAGCACAGTAGTTCTCAAAGCTGGTCCACCACTTGTTCAGTGAAATCCCCTGGCGGGCTGGACCGGTTTGTTTACCTGCCATGTCCGGTTCAGCCAATCGCGGCTCCCACTGGCCACGGTTCACTGCTCCAGGCCAATGGGGGCTGTGGGAAGTGGCGCGGGCCAAGGGATGTGCTGGCCACCTGTCCCGCAGCCCCCATTGGCCTGGAGCAGCGAACCACGGCCAGTGAGAGCTGCGATCGGCCGAACCTGCGGACACAGCAGGTAAACAAACCGGTTCGGCCCGCCAGGGGGTTTCCCTGAACAAGCGGCAGACTGGCTTTGAGAACCACTGGTCTAGCAGATACTCCAGCACCATCTGAAGAGACAACTGAGCAGGCGAGAGGCCTTGTTGTGATGACCAAATGGAAAAAAAACACTTCCACTTGGCAAGGTATGTCACTCTGATTGGTTTAACCCTGGAGCTTCCATATTGTTAGGTGGAGGGCACAGAGATTTGGGTGGAGCATTCAACCATAGCCCGGAGACATCAGATCTGGGAAGGGAGGGAGTGGCATCAGAGTCGCTACTGATGGGTCTAACAGTGTACCGAACTAGTGTTGATGTGGTCAGGCTGGGGCTGTAAGAATAACCCTCGCTGTGTCCCACTTGGCCTTCAGCAGGACTTTGTGCACAGGGGGGAAAGGCATAGAACAAGTGCTTTGACCAAGGGAGTAAGAAGGCATCCATGAGTGAGCCCGGGCTGTGGCCGCACAGAGAACAAAACTGATGACATTTTCTGTTCTGCCTGGTTGCGAACAGATTTACAAGGGGAGTCCTCCACCGCTGTAAAATGACCTTGCTATGTGTGGACAGAGGGACCACTCATGGTGAGTGAAGAAAGACCCGCTGAGGTAATCTGCCAGCTCGTTCAGTGTTCCTGGAAGTTGAGAACCTTTGCAGTGGATCAAGTGCTTTATGCAAAACAAGTGAATAGTCTCCTGACAGGGGAAAGAGTGAGCCCCTGCCTGTCTGTTGATGTAGAACGCGGCTGCTGTGTTGTCCGTAAGTACCTTCATGTCCTCGTTTGCAATGTGGGAAAGAACACCTGACATGCTAGACAGGCCACTCTGGGCTCTCTGACATTTATATGTCTAGAGAGCTCTTCCAAGGACCACAGACCTTGAGTCCTGAGGTCCCCTAAATGAGACCCCCAGCCTAACTCTGAAGCATCTGTAGACCAGAGATATCGAGGGCTGGGGCCTGGCAAAGGGAATGCCTGAGCCCACCAACCAAGGATCCCTCTAGCAGTTGAGGGAGGCAAAGACTAGAGTGGGCACTGAGAGCACCAAGTCCAAATGATGGCAGTTCGGCAAGTACATCAAGGCCAGCCGAGCTTGAAGGGGTCTGAGGCTCAGTCTTGCATGCTGAACTACATACGTGCACGAGGCTATGTAACCTAAAAGTCTGTCACACATTTCTGCCTCAGGGTGGGCCTTGGAGCGCAATATCAGTGACGCCATCATCAGGAAGTGGGCTTCTGGGAGGAAGGCCCTGGCTTGGGTAGAATTGAGCACCGCTCCGATGAACTCTATTCTCTGTACCGAGATGAGGTTTGACGTCTGATACTTTATCAATAGACCCAGTGTTTGAAAGGTTGCCTGAATGAGGTGGATATTGTTCTTCCCCTGCGCCTTGGACTGGCCTTTGATCAGCCAGTCATCGAGGTACAGGTAAATTTGCACCCCTCGCTTTCTTACAAAGGCAGCAACTACTGCCATGCATTTCACGAAGACCTGTGTGGCTGCCAACAGGCCAGATGGGAGAACAGCGAACTGGTCATGGGTCTGATTCACAAAAATCTGAGAAAACTTCTGTGCCCTCAGAAAATCAAGCAATGAAAATAGCCGTCTGTCAAATGGAGGATGGTGTACCAGTCCCTGAGATCCAGGGAGGGAACGATGGAGGCCAGGGAGACCATGCAGAACTTTTAGCTTTTTGAGACAGCTGTTGAGGCAGCACAGGTCTAAAATGCCTCTATTTTGCTTCTTGTGCAGATCCTGACAGGGTGGTAGAGCTGAGAAATGGGTGAGCTGTTAAGGCCTGAAATATTTCCTCGAAAGGCACCATGGCAGAGAGACTCAGGGACTTCAGGGTCGCTCTGGAGTCCTTCCAGACATGGAGCTTCACATCTGTTGGCTCTGAGAAGAGTGAGGACCCTTCAAACAGAAGACCCTGAAGGGATTGCTGGACCTCCACAGGTAGGCCAGAGGACTGTAGCCAAGAGCACTTTCACATGGCTGTTACAGAGGCCATAGATCTGGCTGCTGCATCCAGGGAAGCTTGGAAGGAAGCCCTGGCTATTGTCTTCCCTTCTTCCATCAGAGCAGAGAACTCCTGCCTAGATTCTTGAGGGAGCAAGTCCTTAAATTTTGATACTGAGTCCCAGACATTAAAGTTGCATTTCCCTAGCAACGCCTGATGGTTGGAGATGCGAAGCCGTAAACCGCTAGTAGAATAAGCTTTTCTACAGGAAAGGTCTAGGTTTTGTTTGGGGTTGTTTTGTTTTGTTTTTTTTGGGGGGGGGGGGGGGGGGGGGGGTCTTTTGCCTTGGGGGTTGCTCCTTACAGTCCCTGCCTGTCCCTTTTGTTGGCTGCCAACACCACCAGGGACCCTGGGGGGAGGTTACAAGTAGTCATAACCTTGGGCAGGGGCAAAGTACTTCTTTTCTGCCCTCTTCAAAGTGGGGGACCAGAGAGGATGGGGTTTACCAAAGGGTTTTAATTGGACCCATAATGGCCTCACTGAGAGGAAGCGCCAACTTTGACAGGGCCACCGTGGCCAAGATGTCTACTAGGCTGTGGGAGAACTCTTACTACCTCCACTTCCAGTCATAGGTTCGAAGCAACCCAGGGTGGAGGGGGAGGGAGAGTTGACATGCTTGGCCCTGACACCATCTCATTTGGGGAGGAGGCGGCGGCCTGCACCAGCATGGGTTCCTCCGCTTCTTCCTCTGCACCACATGGATCTCGCAGGTGCAGGTCCTGAATGTTGGTGCCGGAGTCTGTGTTGGGTGCCGCTCAGTGAGATGGAGGAGCCCTTCTCTCAGACACCATTGAGTAAGAGCATCAAGGGGGGGGGGGGCCTGTCACCGCGGTGGGGGGAGCCCCACAAGTTCCAGAATGGCCACTGCATTTCCATAGGCCAGTGCCCACTGGGCCATGCACTCAGAGGTACCCCCACACTGGGATCCCCCATCATATAGGATTTGGGGAGGGTGTGAAAATACGAGTATGGATTTCTCGGCTGGATGCACGACTCCACCATAGCTCCTCTCACCCACTGCTCCCCCGCCTCCACTCTTCTGAGCATGCCGCTTCCCCACTCCTCTGCCTACCTCCCAGCGCTTCCCACTGCCAAACAGCTGTTTGGCAGTGCTTAGGACTTTTTAGGAGGGAGGGGGGAGGAGCGGGAATGGGTGCAGGGAAGGGGTGGGGCCTCATGGAAGGGGTGGAGTGGGGCAGGGCCGGGGGCAGAGGCATGGGCTTTTGTATCTTTGTATGAAAAAGGTGTCAGTGATGCGACTCTCGGGCCAATGTACTAGTCCTCACGTGGCCTTTATGGTGATTTGAATTTGCAATCCTTGCTCTAGACAGTATTGATGGCCACAGTACTGAACGGGAGTTCAAGTCAACATGCTCCCTTCTACTTGCCAGTACAGAGGATGTCAACTCTTGGATGGCTGGTGATGGCAGTACTGACAGCACCAGTAAGTCTCTGGCCACAATGAATGCCTCCAGAGTGGACGGCACCACTATCTTGCTGGTACCATGCTGTCCCTCTGGTGCTGACGGCTGATCCTGAACTGGACTCCGAGCCTGCAAATTGGACGCAGTTGACAGTACTGTCTGTCAAGTGGGGACAGAGGAATGGCCAGACTCAGGGGAAGAGCAGTGGAGTCTCACACGCTTTGCCTTTTTTAGAGCTGGGGAACACCCTGTTACCCAGCTGCTTCTTACCTTTCTTTCTCGGCACTAGTGATGGGAAATGGTGCTGAGAGTCCCTTACAGCAGGCAGAGAGCACTCTGTATCGATGCTGAGGTTCTCGATGCTGAGTCGGTCCAGCTCAACTCCAAGGAGGGTCTGAGTGCTGCCTCCATCAGGATGTATTTTAACCTGGCCTCCCAGTCTTTCTTCGTACCAACTTGAACTGGTGGCAGATCCGACAGCGATCCCGGATACGAGTCTCACTCAACCACTTTAAAAACAACTGGAGTGTGGGCTGCTCTCAGGCATGGCCATGCCACAGGGCTTGAAGCTCAGAGACCAAGGCGTGCCCAGCTCCAGGAGCAGAGGAAGCAATGCTAATGCATTGAGTTCAACTAACTATTTACAACTATTAACTAAAGTCCAAACTGAGAAATAACTACTGGGAAGAAGAAAAAAGGAAGGCTGGAGTGACAAACGAGAACCACTGAATGTAGCTTGCCAAAGAAGAGGAGCAGTTCCAGCGACCGTCACGGGCGTTAAGAAGGAATTGAGAGGGTGCAGGGTTGGCCAGACCCCTTATACTGCACCATAAGTGCGCAGCACCAGAGGGCGCTAGAGCTGACCTGACAGGTACCCCTGAAGGGAAAAATTTCTGGCAACCATACACAAGACACGCACACACCTAATGTGAAATGGACATATGCAAGCACTCGAAGTAGTATTTCCATATTTGTTGTCATAATGGTTTATCACAGACAGTTTTAAAAGTAAACGCTTCCCCTCCACCTGCTAGGTCTGTTAACTCTTCCTGCACTCAAGTCTGGTTCTGTCCATCTCACCCAGCACCAGCAACAAACATTCTACAGGCCAAATTCGGCTCAGTTATACCTATGCTATCTATCATTTTAGAATTACCACCTCTGACATTCGCAAACCCATTAAAAGCAAAGGATTGCACACATCTAGTGCTTACAGCAAACCATTGTGGTTACATACATACATGAGAATCCACAGTTCACTCAATCTTATCTGCATAAAATAAAAAGCAGTGAATATGTTTGTCACTGAAGTCCTCAGAAATGATTTTGACTAAGCACCAGACCAGAAGATGAAGGGAGAAGTTTGACAACCTGAAGAAGCTGGTATGAGAATAAAATCTGATGTCTCTAAATGTCACAAATAATTTAACAGAACAGTATATGTGTACTATTATACTTTCACCTTCAAGACTCAGTACAATACAGTTAATGAAAAATATGAGAAAATAATTCCAACCGCCTCACCCCATCCCATTTTATGAACTATCAGTGACTTCAAAAACCACATGCTGTGACTGGGTCCTAAAAATCCATATAAAAATTGCGCTCTCTGCAGTGCAAAATAAAGACGTTTAGGACAAAAACTAGCATCACGGTGGATCAGACATCTGTTTGGGAGATTATTCACCTGGTGTAGCTGTTCACTTGCTGTGATCTTGATACATTTATATTGTTGAGTTCAGGTACATTCAAACTTGTGGACTGGTGTTTAATATGGCAGTAAGACTGATGCGCTTTGTTTGGTATTACTCCATTACTGCAACTACTTTCAAAACCTAAACAAAATAATATTTTGGTATTTTCAGTCAGTTACAAATTGTGATTTTACGTACACATTACTGAAATAAGCATAAGACTGATTTGTTCATATACAGTAGATTTATCAAGTAATTCCACATACCTAGCTTCCACTCCTCAAGCCTTTGAAACAGATTTAAGGCTTTCACAGTAAAAAAAGCCAGGTAATAAAATTAAACAACAAACATTAACAGCAGTTTTTATATCAGATTTTCAGTTCACTAGCGAATGTTCCCAGTGAAATACACAAGTCAGAGGAACTACAGACCTTTTACTTGGTATATACCATTCAGAAAGTATCTGAAAATCCTGACTGGGCTAGAGTCAGCCTTGATTTTTAATGACTACACTTTATCTTAATTGGCTTTGTATAATAACATTATGTTATTTTTCATATGTAAATTCAGTAATTTGAAGGTATATTCAATATTATCAACTAAACAAAGGATTAATGAGGATCAAAATTTGATGGAAAATTACACTTTGCTAAACCGCAGAACATTTGGTTAAACATTACTCCAGCTTGGTGTACTACTCTTTCCTGCTAACACCTCATCCCTCCCTGGTAATATTTAATTGAGGAAAGCAGTAATTTAAAAGCAGACACATTCAACGTGTACTAATTTGATACTTTATTTTATCACGCCCTGAAAATGGGAGTTCTATATATTCTACTGTAGCAATAGATCACAAGCACTTTCAATCGGCCATCCAATAAATCTATCAGCTACTACTAATATACAACTTGGCATAGATTCTTTATCTTCAAAACAATAGAAAGTCAAGCGTTTTGGGGGTGAGAGATTTTCTGCATCACATCCTACTAAACTTTCAAAGTTGAAGATAGAGAAACAGGATACAAGTTATAAATACCTTCTATTTAAATATTATAATGGCTACACGTTTAACTTTTCATAAGTTCTTTGGTCCCTTCTCTATTCCCACAACAGCAGTTGCCTTTCCAGCAGCAGTGTCCCCCCCACTGGCCACTTAACTGTCACTTTCTACTTAGGGAAAACTAGACTGAAGACAAGAAGTTGGCCCCAATTTAGATTTTATAAAAGGATTGAACTGAAAGTGGACAGAGGGACACCAACTACTGCTGAAAGAGGACTGGGTTCAGTGAAGACATACAAAACTTCCACTTACTTTCACAGTGCCCAGTCTCACCCTCTGTCCAACCAGCTTGCACTTTGAAAGCTGGTCCTTCCCCCAAATATTTAATATTACTTAAACTGAACTGGAAGCCTTGAAACATTCAAGTCTGTCTTTTAAGATAAAGATCTGCTTAAGACAGCCTGACCACTCTCAGTAGAGCTGAGCAGCTTCAATTGAAGTTTGGAGGTCAGCAGAAAATCAGAAACTGACCTGCTGACCACCAACCCCCCCATACCAGCACAGCACTGCTCTGGGACTCCTTACCAGTCATTCTCTATGCCCTCTGTCCCATACTCATTCCTAGGCTGAAGGAGATGGTAGCTTCTGGTCATGTCAGCAGATCAAATGAGGCAGTGTGGGGGAGGTGGAATACAATGGCTCCCCTGCCAAGGGAAAAGCAGTGCCATTTGGGAGTCCCACCCTAGAATCACCTCCAAGCAGCCAACCGCATACTAGGTGCCAAAAACCACACTACTACACAAAAGACTTCCCAAAATATTTGGAACCAGTCCTCAAGTGACGTACACCACGGGATTAGCTGGTTGCCCAAGCCTTTACTTTCACGTAGCTGGATTTATACTTTGAGGACTGGACCCCAGCTATGCACTATTTCCAGTTGGCGAACGACTGACATCACCAAAAGCAGCCGATTGACCAGTACAAACTTCCCTTTGGATAACTAATTCAGTAGGTTAAACTAGGAAAACACATCATTAATATGCAAATCTGACAGATCTGTTATTTTGTCTTGACATTCAGAATTGAAGAAAGAACTCAGTATAGTGCGGGGTTTTCCCCTAGTTTGACTCACCAGAAAAGTGTGTGCTGCTTCCTTTGCTTGTTGCTAAACTGTGAATATTCATTCCATGGCTGGGGCTCATGCTAGGACTATTAAATGATCGAGGGCTTACAGGGTAACTGTCTTGTGATTTTGGACTATGGCCTCCCAGACACCGCACTTCACTGTCTGTACCATTCACCATTTCTATAAACTGGCGCACCCTAAACAATTAAAAAAACCAACAGTTATCTTAGGGAAAAGATATGCCACTTCAGAATTTCAGATAAACATTCAATGCAAATAGAAGTAATTTTTTAAGTCTTAAAAACAAAGTTTTATTGTCCGACAAAGCACTTGATGTCAGAGTTTTAGGCCTGGTCTATACTTAAAAACCAAGATCAACCTAGCTACGCCACCAATGGCTGTGAAAAATATCACATACTGAGAGCCATAGTTAGGTCGATCTAACCATCAGAGTAGAACTCTTCCATTGGCCTAGCTACTGCTTCTCAGAGGTTGATTAACCACATTAATGAAAAAACCCCCTCTGTCAATGTAGGAAGTACCTACACTACAGTGCTACGTCATAGCTGCAGCTGTACCAGCGTAGCGCAGGTATATTCTCAGTCTTCAGTCTATGAGGTTAGAGAGTATCCGACCAGAACGTAACCTCAAGAGAACAAATAACTGATTTGTGGGGAGGACCTAGAACAGCAAGAACCTTATCCTGCAAGAATTTTGACAATCAATAGTCTTTAAAAAAGGAAACTTTAGAAAGATTAAAATGTTCTATTTTAAATTAAACTTTTTCCTCAGGAAGAGACGGTTACTCACCTTGTGCAGTAACGGAGGTTCTTCGAGATGGTTGTCCCTATGGGTGCTCCACTTTAGGTGCTTGATGCCCTGCACTTGTAATCTAAGGTTTGTGGTAGTAGTGCCCGGTTGGGCCACACATGCGCCATGACTGTCTTGCGCTGCTCTGAGCAGTTACATAGTGGTGTGCAGCCAACTGTCCCGGTTCCTTCTCTACCTGAGACAATTGGCCTGAAACTTTGAAGTAGAGGGGAGGAGGGAGGATAGTGGAGCACCCAGAGGGACAAGCATCTCAAAGAACCTCAGTTACTGCACAAGGTGTTTTCTTCAAGGAGTGTCCCGGTGGGTGCTCCACTTTAGGTGATTGTTAAGCAGTGCCCCTGAGTGGAGGGGAGGGGCTTTGGAGTTAGTCTACTGACTGGATAACACTACTGACTGGATAACACTGCAAGTCCAAAGTGAGCATCTGATACTGATTGTTGTTCTAAGCCTTAGAATTTAAGGCATAGTGTTTAGTGAAAGTATGGACTGATGCCCAGGTAGCTGCTCTGCGAATGTCAGTGATAGGCCACAGATTCTGCTAGTGCCCTGGTGGAGTGTGAGAGAACTCCCAGTGGAGGTTGTAGATCGTTGTTTTGGTAGCACAAATGGATACATCTTGCTATCCATTTGGATAGTCCCTGTTTTGAGATGGTTTGACCCATCAAGCATTCTGTTATGGAAACAAATTAGCTAGATGATTTTCTACATAGAACATGAATGCTCTGCAAACATCCAATGTGCAGAGTAAGGCCTCCTTCCCGTCCGCATGTGGTTTAGGAAAAAATACAGGTAAGTAAATGGATTGGTTTAAATGAAAGGGGGAGGCAACTTTGGGAATGAATTTAGGATACGGTCATGGGATTACTTTATCTTTAAAGAATGTCGTATACGGTGGGTGTGCCATTAGGGCACCTAATTCTCCCACCTGTCTGGTAGATGTGATGGCAACCAGGAAAGCCACCTTCATGGATAAGTGCAACGAAGAACAAATTTTGCAAGGGGTTCAAACGGCTTTCCCATGAGTCCACACAGAACAAGGCTGAGGTCCCACATAAGTGTAGTTTCTTATTGTGGGATAAGTGTTTTGAATGCCTTTAAGGAAGCATTTAATTGTTGGGTGAGCAAATATAGTGACCCCATCCACCTTGTTGTGGAAGGAGGTAATAGCAGCCAAGCATACTCTGATGGAGCTTGTGGATAGCCCCGATTTTTTAAGTCCTAGTATACAGTCCAGGATCCTCAGTGGGGGGGACGATTGTGGCAAGATCTGTTTATCTGGGCACCAGATGCAGAATTGTTTTCACTTAAGTACAGGAAACACATATATCCATAAGTCTCCCACTGTTCAGTAATATAGCTTTTACTTCCTCAGAACAGGCCTTCTTGACCTCCATCCATCAGCCATGGAGTAACCAGGCTTTAAGGTTGGGGTTCGGGTGACGGACTCATCCCGCATCTTGTGATAGACGGTGAGGTACTAAGGGAAGGATTCGAGGCGGTTTCACTGCCATCTAGCACAAGTATGGGAACCACATTTGTCTGGGCCATGTGGGTGCTATGGGAATGACCCTGGATTTGTCCTGCTTGATCTTGTGAATGACTCAGCTTAGGAGTGGGGTCAAAAGAAATGCATACATCAGTGGTGCCTCCCATTTTGAGGAGAGTGTCGCCTAGGGAGTGGTGTCCCAATCCCACTCTGGAGCAATGTTGTGGGCATTTGGCATTCTGAGCTGTTGCAAATAGATCTATGGTAGGGAACCCGCATAGTTTGAATATGGATTTGAGAATTCCAGGATCCATCTCCCACTCGTGGGTTTGCGAGAAATCCCTGCTTAGTACATCCGCCGTTGTAGTCTGACATCCTGGCAGATAGGATGCCGATATCTCTACGTTGTTGGTGATGCACCAATTCCAAGGGCGTATTGCCTCTGTATATAGGGAGTATAATCGTGCTCCTCTGTGGTGGTTTATATAAAACATGCATGCTATATTGTCTGTGAGGATCTTGATTGTATTGTTCTTGATTAGAAGGAGAAAGTACTCACATACATTTTGGACTGCCCTTAGCTCCAGTAAGTTTATGTGCAGGTTGGACTCTGCAGGGGACCAGCGGCCTTCTACAGTATTGTTGAGTAGATGTGTCCCCCAACCTATTAGGGAAGCGTCTGTGGGGACTGTCATGGTTGGAGTTCTTTGATGGAAAGGGACTCCTGAGCACATGTTCTCTGGTTGTATCACCATGTTAACGAGTCTTTTACTCTGCATGGCATAGTGAGGCATCTGTTAAGAGGGTGTCTGTACGGAATATACAGTGTTTGAAGCCAGGCCTGCAAGCATCTCACGTGGAGTCTGGTATGCCTGACAACAAACACTGTTGTCCACCCACACGTGCCCCAAGAGTTGTAAACATGTTCTGGAGGATGTTTGTGGGCTGTCCCTCACTGTTGAAGTTATGTTGACTAGGGTGAGGAAGCATTGTTGGATTAGCATTGCTGTTAGACAGTCGAGACAGAGTCCTATGAATTCCAACTTTTGGCAGGAACCAGTATGGATTTTTGCACATTTATTTGCAACCCTAGATTTGTGAAAAGGGTTATCATGCTCTGCGTGGCATTTATTGCTTCTTGCTGTGTTGGTGCCTCTATGAGGCAGTCATCTAAGTATGAAAATATCATACTCCATGTCGGCACAGGTGAGCTGCAACGACAGTGAAAACCTTGGAAAAAAACCCTTCGGGCAGTGGATGGGCCGAAGGGTAGCACTCTGTATTGGAAATGCTGTTTCCCTATGTTGAACCTCAGGAATATTCCGTATGACGGGTGGATGGTAATATGAAAATAAGCATCCTGAAGGTTGAGAACCGAGAGCCAATCTTCATTCTCTAATGCCGGAATTATTGCGATTAGATTCACCATTTTGTTGTGCTCTCATGAATTTGAGTTTTTTGTAAATCCAGACTGGGTCTCCACCCGCTGGTCTTTTTCTGAGTTAAAAAGTAATGTGAATAAAAATCTCTCCCTGTGTTGTGATGGTACGGGTTCCACGGCACCTAACTGTACAAATCAGGTTTATTTTCTGTTGTAACAGGTGCTCATGAGAAAGGTCCCTGGGGAGGGATGGGGGAAGGGAGGTGGATAGGTGGGATAGAAATAAAGGGGATGGAGTAGCCCTTCTGGATAATCTCTAAAACCCATTGTCTGTCGTGATGGTGTTCCAGACTGGGTATTATAGTGACAGACGGTCCCCAAATTGGTGAGGCACCATTTCTGGTTCATGATTGTTTAGAGGTGGATTGTTGCGATATCAAAGGCTGATCTTGGTTCTGCTGATGTCTGTTCTGTCTTTGTTTACGCCGTTGGTCATATTGTCTTAGGGGTGAGAGTATGGCATAGACCGGAATCTCTGATTGTAAAACCTGCCTTGTTTCTTTTTGTTTTCAGGTACTGTGACAGACTCAGACCAGAAGGATATAAGAGAGTAGTGGAAGGGAGGTATATCAGCCTCAGAATGAGTAGATCCCTGTCCCCTGGATAGCCAAACAAAGGCTACTCCAGGCCAATCAAGACGCCTGACACCAAATTAACCAGTTAAGGTAGTTAGGCTAATACCAGCACCTGACCTCAATTAACTGGCAAAGGGTCAGTTAAGGCCATTAGGTTAACGGAGACAGCTGGAACCAATTAAGGTCCTACTCATACTGCTTAAAAGCTCTCCTTTCCAGTTCTCTTGAGAAGCCCAGGTGAAGGGAGCTGAAGGAGAGGGAGTATTGCTGAATCCTGAGGTAAGGGTGAAGCTTGGGAAAAGGCGACCATGGAGAAGCGGCCCAGAGAACCAAAGCAGCATCATCGGTGAAGGGAAAAAGCCACCAACAGCTGCTACCATTAGGGTCCCTGGGCTGGAACCCCGAGTAGAGGGCAGGCCCGGGTTTCCCCCTTCCCCCTCACTCTACTTCCCCTCTCAAGGGGAATCTCTATAGACTTTGGTTCAGGCAAGAGACCAAACTGAACCTACTGAGCTCTAAGGAACAACAGAGACTGTGGGTATTCCACCTTCCATGCTGGCCTGTGATGAAAGTAGCTCAATAAGCTGTGACCTTTGCTGCTATACTGGGAAAGGAAGGTCATATTGAGGGTGTTAGTGAGCTTCTGAGGCCACTGAATCCACCTGGAAGCACGGGACCCACCAATACAGGCTCGGAGCTTTGTCACAGTACGTAAATGCCAAGGGTTTTTAAGGTCGCCCTTGAGTCTTTTACACGGGACCCACCAATACAGGCTTGGAGCTTTGTCACAGTACGTAAATGCCAAGGGTTTTTAAGGTCGCCCTTGAGTCTTTTAGGGTGTGTAACGAAACATCGGTTTTGTCTGCAAATAATTTCTGCCCCTCAAAGGGTAAATCCTCAACCGTTGTCTGGACCTCCCTTGGGAGCCTGGAGAGGTGGAGCCATGATGCATGCTGCATGACCACGGATGTCACAATGGATCATGCTGCCGTGTCTGCCGAGTCAAGGAGGTCTGGAGGGCCCTCCTGGCAATGAGACCCCCTTCAGAAATGTTTGCATTCTACTGTTCTTTTTTGTCATCTTGTAAATTTTCAATAAAAGTTGACCTTTTGGAGAACAGATTGTGTGTATTTGGTTAGAGCAGCATAGTTGGCTATGCGGAACTGAAGTGTAGCTGAGGAATAAGCTTTCCACCCGAAAAGGTCTAGCCTGTTCCAGTCCTTATCGTATGGGGTCATTCGAGACTGGCATTGTTTGCCCCTTTGGTTGGCTGCCTCCACTACAAGGGAGTTTGGTGCAGGGTGTGTAAATAGGAACTCAGCCCCTTTTGCTGGCACATAATATTTTTTGCCAGATCTTTTACATGTGGGTGGTGCTGTAGCAGGTGTTTGCCAGATTATTTTTGCAGGCTCCATGACTGCATCACTAATTGGCAGAGCTATCGTTGCTGATGGGGATGCCTGGAGTATGTTTGAGAGATTGTGTTGGGCTTCTGGTAGCTGAGCCAACGAAATGACCAGGGATTCAGCAACCCTTTTGAAGAGGTTCTGAAAGGATTTGAAATCATCCCCTGTGGTGAGGGGTGGTGGCATTATGGTTTCATCTGGTGACAAAGATGAGAGCTGAGTAGGTGGTGAAGTGTCATGTTTGGCTGTGTCCTCAGGTTCCTCAGTGTCTTCCTCTTGTGTTTCTGAGGGTGCCTGGACAGTTGAAGGGTAACAAGGCTGTTCTGGACCTAGGCAGGCTAGGGGCCCGCAATTGGATCCTATACACTGCTCAGGGATCCCAGTATGACCAGTTAGGTGGGAATGGTATGGGGGAGGGGGTGCCTATGGGTGACCATATCATCCTCCTGTATCTGCAGATGGTCGGTGATGAAATGGTCAAAGCTTGGGTGAGGAGTGGCGAGGAGTATATATTACTGCCTCGTCCTCTTCTTCCTCTTCACTGGAGATGGGGTGGCATATCTGCAGGGATTAGTCAGCTGGCTTGGTACCAATCTGGATGGGGTACCCTTGGTGCAGAGTAGAGGAGATTGAGATCACTGTCGGGTCCGCATGCCTCATGAATTGCTGTGGAAAACCTTGAGTCTCGGTGCTGGAGACGGCATGGTGGACAGCCCGGGAGCATGAGTTAAAGCTGCCAGTGCTGAGGATTTAGAGCAGTGCAGCATAAGAACAGCAGGCAACGCCACTGTACCGCTCGGTGCAGAGACCTTCTTCAGTTCCATAGGTGCTGTTATGTTTCATTTTAATGCGTAAGCCTCCATTTTAGCTAGCCTCATAGGGTCTTTAGCTCTTCAGGAACTCGCAGTGCCAGATGTTCCAGGTGCCTCGTGTTCTGGCACGCTCAGTGCCGTTGATACCAGGGCAAATTTTTCAGTTGGGGGATCGCTTTCTTTTAGACAATTCTCAGTGCAGAGATGTCTGCAACTGCTTTTTGGTAGCCTTTCTAGGGGTAGGCTACTTGGCAGCCATTGTTGAAGTGGAGCCCATGTCAGAGACTGGTGACCATTAGCCAGGGGGTGACCTGGAAGCAGGGTCGGAGGTTGGCCTGAGGGATTTCTCCATCATAAGAAGCTTCAATTGGAGATCCCTGGCTTTTCTTGTCCTAGCTGTCAGTTTATTCAAAAGTGCCTACACTGCAGAAATGTGTCTCGCCAAGGCAGCGGATACCCTGAGCATGACCATCAAAGACCAATACGGAGAGTCTGCAAGTCAGGTGAGCTGGCCATTTTTGCGGGAGTCAGTCTCTTAGAGAAATAAAAAATAATGGTAAACCCTGTTTGAGGCTAAGGCTGCACACCTGCCAGAGAGGCAGCAGTAGATAGGAAAGGTAAAGGGATTTTTTTTTTTTTTTAAATTTTTAAAGAGGTTAGAGTAAGGCAAGTGATACGGAAAACTAACTACAACTAAGCTTACACTATCACTATGAACTATTTATTATAAATCTTATCTGATGTAGGAGAAGGCACTGCTGACTGCGCCAACTCAAGCCAAAGGCAGTAGAGAAGAAACTGAGGGACAGTTGGCTGCGCACTGCTGTGTAACTGCTCGGAGCAGCATGAGACAACTACAGCGTGTGCGCGGCCCAACTGGGCACTGCTACCACAAATCTCCGATTACAAGCGCAGGGTGTCAAAACACCTACAGTGGAGCACCCACAGGGACGATCCTCGAAGAATCTATCATTTCCCTCAAAATCAGTGAGGGAAGAGGACTCAGTGTCTGGAATTAATAAGTGACAAAAGAAAGTTTAACATTAAACATTCATAATGGAAAATGGTTCCAAAAAAATTTTAAAAAATACAGATTTAGATGAAAACTCAGACTCTGGAAGACAATTCTTCAGCAAGAAGCGAATTATATTCGCAGAGCTGCAGAATACAAAGGACCCTGACGACAATCTACAGTTATTTGATCTAGAAGATAGATCTAGCACACAGAAATGTTAACTAAATAAGCAGTTTCTAAAAATTCTGTTGAATTTAAAGCTTTCACAGGAACAAAATTAATTATGTAATATCTCCTAAGACTACACAGTTATCTATAGACAAACATCTACATAACCTGAAGACTCACTTTAATGCAAATAAGAGATTAGGATTTCTTTCTAGTAAACTTGGATACAACTGTTGTGTTGTTTCAATGGCTTCTCCCATTCTTCCTGCTAAAACCAATTTTTGAATTCCTGTTCACCAAAGCACAAAAAAGTAAGGTTAAATCTTGCACAGTGTAAAGATTCGTATACAACATTAAATGATTAAAAATACCACCAACATGAATCAATAGGATTTTTACCAAAAAATTCACAGAAAGAAATGCATTCATTTCCTTGGAAATTTTGAAATATTTTAAGAGTTGTATTTATTTTACAGATATTTATGAGCATTATATAGGTTATATATTGCCAGCTGCTTTGACACACACACTGAACTACCAGTTACTCAAATAGCTCATTTAAAGGAAGATTAAAAATTAAGACATTCATAGAATATCAGGGTTGGAAGGGACCTCAGGAGGTCATCTAGTCCAACCCCCTACTCAAAGCAGGACCAATCCCCAATTAAATCATCCCAGCCAGGAATGTGTCAAGCCTGACCTTAAACTTCTAAGGAAGGAGATTCTACCATCTCCCTAGGTAACATTGTTGTGAGTATTTTATTTTTAACTGATATGTCTTCATAAAGTATGCCCACACTGCACTGCTGTCATTTGCAAGACCAGGAATACCAGGTTATATCTAAACTATGAAAAATGGTCAAGTTTAGATTGTGTTTAGTTAATATGCTAGCTAAGCCCAACCTAAATGTGACCCCTCACCTAATGAAAATCAGAGTAACACCTTAACTTAATTTTCACCTATTTAATTTACAGCCTAAGCTCCTGACTAGATTACAACTCATCCTGCTAAAACTGAACTAAAAGTGTTGATATTTTCCAACCGTAAGCCTGACAAACGCAATCTGCATCTAAACAGCACATGCTAGCTAAGCCTCTACCACTTTTCCTACTCAAGGCAAAGTCTACGTCTGTGGTCCCATTCAAGTTAACTGACTAGTAAACCAGAGCTGATTGTCAACATTAGTCTAGACCAGTGGTGGGCAACCTGCGGCTGTCAGGGTAATCTGCTGGCAGGCTGCTGCAAGACAGTTTGTTTACACTGACCATCCTCAGGAACGGCAGCCCGCAGCTCCCAATGGCTGGGAACGGCGAACCGCAGCCATTGGGAGCAGCAGGTGGCCATGCCTGCGGACAGTCAAAATCAGCAAACTGTCTTGGGGCCCGCTAGCAGATTACCCTGACTGGCTGTGTATGGCCCGCGCGGCTGCAGGTTGCCCACCACTGGTCTAGACACACCATTAACATTTGTTCCAGGATAACGCCAAACATGTTTGTGTCCTTCCTTTCAAACACCAGTGTCATGGTAGGTAATTCATAACATTCCTCTTCATTAAACTAGTTCCAAAATTAAACAGTACTTTCAAGATTAACAAACCAGTGGCTCAAGAATCCATGATTCTGCAGAATCTGCAGAAAAGGACCTGGGGTTACAGTGGACAAGAAGCTGGATATGAGTCAACAGTGTGCTCTTGTTGCCAAGGCGTCCAGTGGCATTTTGGGATGTATAAGTAGGGGCATTGCCAGCAGATCGAGAGACATGATCATTCCCTTCTATTAGACATTGGTAAGGCCTCATCTGGAGTACTGTGTCCAGTTTTGGGCCCCACACTACAAGAAGGATGTGAAAAAATTGGAAAATGTCTAGCGAAGGGCAACACAAACGATTAGGGGACTGGAACACATGACTTATGCGGAGAGGCTGATGGAACTGGGACTGTTTAGTCTGCGGAAGAGAAGAATGAGGGGGGATTTGATAGCTGCTTTCAACTACCTGAAAGGGAGTTCCAAAGAGGATGGCTCTAGACTGTTCTCAGTGGTACCAGATGACAGTCTAGGAGTAATGGTCTCAAGTTGCAGTGCGGAGGTTTAGGTTTGATGTTAGGAAAAACTTTTTCACTAGGGGGGTGGTGAAGCACTGGAATGTGTTACCTAGGGAGATGATGGAATCTCCTTCCTTTGAAGTTTTTAAGGTCAGGCTTGACAAAGCCCTGGCTGGGATGATTTAGTTGGGGATTGGTCCTGCTTTGAGCAGGAGGTGGGACTAGATGACCTCCTGAGGTCCCTTCCAACCCTGATATTCTATGATTCTATAGTTGTGCATTAATGCACTGAATTATAATGTTGTAAGATTGTTGAAAGCACATTCCACGATGAAGTTTCATAGATTAAATTGTAGGGAATTGTTTTTAATATAAGAGACAATTTAAAGTTAATTTGTTTTAAAAAGCATGCAGTGTACTTTCCAGCCTTACTTTGTCTATTTTTAATGGAGGCTAATTCTTCTAGTACAGTCTGGTCTGTAGATCTGGCAAAAGCCTCTGCTGTTGCACAGTACCCATGATGAACTAAATAAGATGAAACCATTCTGAGAAGAGAATTCAAAACAGTTAAAATATGCAACATCATTTACACCATTATGCAGGTAAAATAAACTGAAGACACTTTTCAAATTTCAAGACAGCTCAGCAAACAAAATCACTTGCTTGACAAAAGC